GTGGGGTTGGCGTCCGTATCAGCAGCGGTTGACCTGTAACAACATGTCAGCATCACCAATAATACACCCAGGGCAGGCAGCTGCGTACGTGGCCTTGGTGCTCGAGGCGGCGGCGGCGTTGTCGAGGCAGGAAGCATCATCGCTCTTGCCAACGACGATCTAAAGCCGAAAATGAGTATAGTCCGCCCAAGAGAAAAAAAAACTGACCGCCTGGGACCAGGCTTCCTGCTGATCAGCATCCTCCAGCGAGAGCATCAGTGTAGAGCCAGCCGGGAAGTCAACGGTCCAGTGGATGGTGTTGCCGGCGTGGTCACCAAGGTCGGCGCTGTCAGACAATGAGCGCTCGTTGTCAACCTGTTAAGGAGCCACTTGCAGGATGTCACCGCAGGGCTCAGTGGAGTTTACGACAACGAGGTTGTAGGGACCTTTTGTCTCGTCCCAGGTGATGAGGGCGGAGCCGCACTGTGTGTGGGTCGTGAGGGGGCGAGCAGACGAGCTGAAGTGGCCGTACCTGGGTGAGGGTCGGGGTGTCGATGCTGAAGGCAGCGAGGGCGGGGACGGCAACGAGTGCGAGAGTAAGGAATGTGGCGAACATGTTATCGCAGTGGCAAGTCGGAGGACGGGAGGGGTCGTAGAGAGGAAGAGGAAGGGATGATGAGCTGTGACAGTGTCACTCCAAACACTCTATACTTGGCACACCGTTTGAAACACTTCTGGCAGACACAGAAAATGCTGGCTATTTATCTACCGGTTAAGTTACAGCTTGCCTTTGTACAGCGCAAGGCGTGTCCGCTTCGAAATCCTTGGTTGGCATATCAACGACTCGGAATAATACTCTGATGCGGACAATGCCGAACGTACCCAGAGTGCTCAACCGCCGATGGCGTCTTTCGAGGGCCTTCAACTGCCTCCCGCTGGTCGATTGGAACGTATTCGCGCCTCGCCGCCCCAACATAAATCTGTCGCGGCCGCCAAATCTTGACACCTCCCGACTGCAGCATCATCTGCATGGCATATGTGATCAACTGCCACTGAACATACGGTCTACATACCTGTCGCCAGTGTGCAAGCCAGCCAACAACCCGCGGTACAACAAACAGCACGGGGAAGTAATCGTTCGGGAATCCTAAGATGCCGTTCGGAACGCGTTCACTCAAATCAGATACACGCACCCATCGCGCGGTAAATTAGCCCGCTAAAAACGCGTATTCAGCACCGAGAATGCCAAAGGGGTAGACGGAAATTGTACCTCCTGCAAAACATGAGGTTAGTGGGCCGCAAACACACTGAACAACATACCAAAAATCGACATTCGGCGCTAATTTCCTCGACACGACTGCGTCTGCATGTCAGGAGACCCCATATTACGCAGAAAAATGAAGACTGAACAGTAATCGTCCTTCATGGCTGCATCGTGTAGAGCCATGGCGGTCTCCAGCAGCTCGTCTTTCCCCGTGCTATGGTGCAATGAGGCCACAACCGTCAAGACATGCAGGGCCGCCTACATCTTGAACACCTCATCCGCCGTCTTGCGCACAAGGAACGAGCGTGGGTCGGACTGTTTCCGCTTGCATCAACGTAATTATCGGACACGCAAGAACCAACCGTCTTGTAAACACTGCAACCCATAAGCAAGAGCTGTCTGCTGTTTGCAACGGGAACCTACCGATGACCGAATCCAGACAAGACTTTTTCCCGCTTCTTGACCGCCTCGATGAATGCCGGGACATTTTCGGGCCTTGAGGATCAAATAAAATACACTTCAAATACACAAATGACCAACTCACTTGCCGATGGAGATGAGCATGCGAATCACAGCTTCGTTCGCGCCGCCTCGGAGCTGTTTAGCAGAAGCTTGGCACAAGGAACGGAGAAGTTACCATGCAAAGGTCCACTGGGAGATACAATGTTAGGTATTTCCAGAGCTGGCGAAGAACCACTCACTATAACGACGCGCAACCCGCCCTATCCCCCAAATCAGCAAAGGACGACCGCAAAAAGAAAGTGGACCTACGCAACCGCAGAGAAAGGATCGACGAGCGAACTCCCGACTTGCAAGACCGATGCCGCGCTTGCATTCATCTCATGGTCGGCATGCAGTAAGAACAGCACATCAAGCGCCTTCTCAAGCACCGGGTTGGGCACGTAGTTCTCTTGCCCGAGATAGTCCATCTGGTATAAGAACCTGGGCAACTTTACCAATGGGTGACCTCGGCAAAAGTACGACCTACGAGCCGGTGTAACTGAGACCTGTCGGGGGAGTGACGAATTCTCGTCCTTGCCGGACACGGTACGCCATCCTAGCGACCGATTCAGCAATGAAACAAACGAAATGGGAATACCAACGCTGCCAGGGTAGTCGCTTTGCCAATGAGTCGATAAATCTGCTTGTCGAGAATGGCCAGAGATTTATTGTCGCCTTTGGTATACAGCGTTTGTCCTGATCATAAATCCACGGTCAGATGAAATCTCCTGGTTCAGTAGCAAACCTTACCTTGCAAGGAAGGATTTGCCTCCTGGTAGTACGAGCCCAAGTATGCGAATGCGCTTGTAAGGATAGCCATTGGGTGCGCGTCATAACTGGGCTGAAGTCAGATAGAGTTTCGCCGTCGGAACGGATGTACCGGAAACTTCTGAAGAATTGCTCAGCGTCTGCATGTACAACCGCGTGCCGCATTATTTCGTTGCTAAACATCTCAAATTGTGATTTCGTGGGGAGCGAGCCATAGATGAGGAGGTATGCTGTAACCGCGTTAGATTCAAACCACATCCCCAACGATACCACCGACCGGATTCGAGATGAGACGAATGAAGCGCGAGTTGTTCGATGGGATATCCTCTACGAAACGCAGGATGGGTCTTGGAGACAATTAAAAATCAAGCTACCGACCTGTAGCGCAGCACTCCAGTGTCTCCGTCAATGTAGGTAATCTGACTGTGAAAAAAAAAATGAGGAAGCTTCTTCGGGACACGTACTATTTCTCACCTCCGCAGAACAGCAGTGTTGAGGAAACCCTTGTCGGATACGCGAAGGCCTTTCTCGGTTTCATTCTCTTCGCGCTCTCCTGGTACCTTCGGGGCCTTGATTTGCTTAAAATCGACCGCGCTAACACTATTGTCGACGATGCTAAACGACGCGTTTTCAGATAATTCGCTGCACAGTGGCCGGAGACGAACGGGATGCTGTAAGTCTTCCCCGTGCGATTGTCGTGGACAGAGAGGGTGCTGGCGCCGAGCGTAGCAGCGTCCTTCGGGCGGCCCATGATAGTGGTCGGAGGTAAAGCGGAAACAGGCTGGTCTGTGCGCTTGCCGGTGCCGGGTCACAATCACATGAAGAACCTTCTTTCTTTCACTACGACGGAGCCGCTTCGAACGACGTTTTGACTAGGACTCGGCGTTAATAATGAAAGGATGAAGACCTTGTTCCTGGGCCACCATGTCGAGTTCCGTCACCGTCGTTGAACGCGTGCCGCTTTATGCTAAAAAGACGACCCTCTCCTCGTCCTTCATACTCGGTCCATTCGACCAGATAGCAGGTTTCGTGCCCATACAAGTCGTTTGGCTCTACGAAGCACACTCGGATCGCGAAATCGTCCCCACCCCGCGCCTCCAACGCGCCTTGGAACTGTTGCTCTCCTACTACCCCCATCTCACCGGCCGAATTCACGTCGATCCCGGGAGTGGAATTCGCCAAATAACCGACTCTACTGCTGGTGCAGAGCTACTCCTCGCAACGTGCAGCGAACGTCTCGACGCGTTCGATGCCCCGTCGCCTGGCCGTATAATGGCGCTACCTGGAGCTGGCAATGCCCTCCTCGCACCCTTTGATCCAAACCCCGCCAAATCTGCCAGCCAGCCCATCCTGGCCGTTCAACACACCCGTTTCGTTTGCGGTTCAGTTTCACTGGGAATACGGATGGCCCATACCATCTGCGACGGCGACGGATACTTCCAACTCGTCCGTAATCTTGCGCGGCTCTATCGTGGCCTCTCGTCCTCCGACTCGCCCAGTCTCTCCTATCCTCCGCGATTTGAGCCGCACCTGGTTGAGCTTATCGGTGCTGCGACCTCAGCACAGGAAGATTCCCTCTACGAGCCTACTGTGCTCGGCACAAAACCGCATTCGAATCCTCCCTTTGTTCTGCCACAGACTCCCGTTGGTCGCTTCTTGCGCTTCACGCGCGAGCAGCTCTCCGATCTCAAAGCGCGTGCAACAGAACCCGGAGGTGGCAGTTGGGTCAGCACCTTCGAGGCCCTTGCCGCACATCTCTATCGACGCGTCTACCGCGCTCGGCTCAAACTGTTCGCACAAGACCCAACCCTCGGTACCCTCTCTGCACCTGACTTCCTCACGCCTGTCAACACACGCCCTCGTCTGGGCATCTCCCATCCCGAAAACTACTTCCCTAATGCGCTTTTCACCTCTTTTATCAATGTTGACCCACCGGAACTGGAGCGTCTCGGACTTACGGACGGTCCCCTCTGGAAAACAGCAAAAGCTATCCATGACCTCACACGCTCCTCTGCGCTCACCGACACCTCCGAAATAACCAACACCCTCCGCTGGATAGCACGTCAGCCTGATATGAAAAAGATCCAAAGCGGGTTCCGGTATGGGACTGGAAGCTTCATGTTCTCGGCCTGGAGCAAGTTTGATTATATGAATTTGGAGTTTGACGAAGGAGTCCCGCCGGTGCTCGCCTGTCCTCCGTTCACGGCTAGCTCGACTATGGATGGATTGGCGTACTCTTTGCCCCCGGAACGCGGCGCGAAGGAGGGGGATATCGACGTCAACTTGGTTCTGATTGAGCCTGTGTGGCGGATTTTTGAATCGGAAACGGACTGGTAGTGGGATTTGACTTTTTCGGTCGCATGTATTTCTCAACATTGCGCGTACCACCCATTACATGTCATAGTGCGCAAGATGTATATTTGGTGTTCATTGAACCGGAAAGTCTCGACCCTATGCCCGCCCCCTCACAAAAACCGCAAAAATAGAGTAGCAGCAACTCGTTTCGATCGAGTGACCTCGGGGTTATGGGCCCCGCGCGCTTCCATCTGCGCCATGCTGCTGTCTGATCCATTCAGTCTTAGCCTACAGGACGCGCTTCTTCGTCAGCTACGTGACTGGGCTTTCAATTCGAACAAGAAAGACTAAGTAGTACACAAAAACAGCTTCAATCAGGTGCAACCGCCGGCTTAAACCTAGGCTTCGGCTTGGGACGCGGTCGCAACTGGGGTGGCCTAACGGTTGGCGCGTCGTCAACGGCCCCTTCGAAGTCCGACCCATCGTCATCCTCATCTTCATCACCCTTCTTCCTCTTCTTTGCTCTCAATCTAGCCGCTGGAGCTTTCTTAACTCCGCGTCCTCGCGTTGATGCTGACGAGTCGGTTTTAGCCTTGGCGGCGGCTTTTCCCTTGACTCGCTTAGTAGCAGGCTTCTTTGCAGGCGCATCGTCGCTCTCCCCTCCCGATTCCAAGCCCGCATTGTCCTCTTCGTCTTGGTCTCCGTCTACCGCTGGAGATTGAGACCCCCGTTTCCGCTTCTTCCGGAAGTCCGAAACGACTTGCTGCAGGCGTTTACTAGCATATGCTTGACGTTTCCGCGGTGCGACGGTCCCGCTTCCAGATACATCAAAGTATCCATTGAGGTTCCCTTGCTTGTTCAATGCGCCGTTCTGAGATCGTTTGCGGATTTTCTGAATAACGGGCAGGAGAAGCTCGTCCACTTTGGCCGGTCCCCAGCTCAGCTCCGAGTATAAAAATCTAGAAGCCGCCTTAAGTATCAAATAGATCAAGAAGAGGAGCAGGTACTCTCTGAGGGCATCGAGGTCGGGTAGTCCCCATTTAAACGGCTCTTCTGATTCGTCGACGGTTGGGTGATAATAAGCATCCCTCTGCGAAACGTCAATGATGTCTATGGCTGAAGAAAGACACAACGCACGACCAAAGGATTAGGCCAGTCGGTCGGTAAATACAAGCTCTTGAAGTTCTTTTTCTGCAAACAGTAAGCTTGTATTCACAAATCATCAGCAAAACTCCTCACGAATCGTTTCCTAAACTTGGAGCTGCTGTCCTGCGCCGAATCCTTCCCGGATTGCACCCTGGTCCACCAATCCTTGAACTTGTGCAGCCCATCATCACCCGGAAACTCTGCAAGAAGTTCCATCGCCACGACTGGCCCGACACCCTGAAGGCCCTCGACATAATCGCTTCCAAGCAGATAGGCGAGCCGAATCAATGCATCGCGCTCCAATCCCATTTCGCGGCTCAAATCCGACGTCAAGAAACACTCGACCGTCTTGGATTGGTTGAACATGTTCTTGTAAACACGCAACCCGCCGAAAAGGAAGACATCCGAATCGTCTGTGATGACGCCGTTGACGAGACCCAGCTGGAGTAGTTCGGCGCATTGCGCTTCCGCTTCCATTGGGGCCGTAATATACGGAATACCGAATAAATTGAGCAACGTCTGCGTAAAACATCATTCAGCAGACATAGATGGCGGACGGAGAGAGCGAACCATAATCTGGGACACCATCTGCTGGTTGATATCCTCTGAATCACGCAAAGCGGCTCGTTTTTGCGCATTCAAGACCTGGATCTCGTCGTCTATTTCCCTTTGCACCTCATCGAGATTTTTGCCCTTGACTTGCGACATGAACTGCACGAATTCACTCTCCTCTGCGACCGGGTCCATTTCTTGCGCAGCATCCCAGTTTTCGTGTGCCGGCGACGATGAACGGGGAGCAGGTTGCTCTAGTCCGACGACGGGGGACGGAGAGCGGGACCAATCGCTTATTAGTTCGTTGGCGTCCGCCAAGTCGTTTTGTGATGTGAATGGAGAAACTGGAAGAGGCGTTGAATCTCGCGTAGGTGATGTAGGAGGTTCAGGTTGTCGCAGTTCGGAGACCTGGGGTTCCTCTGGCTGGATTTCTTCCTCTACATGCGCAGATGGAGTAGGATGCGAAGAAGGCACGGGTTGCGAATAAAGTGGAGAAACTTCCTCCATTTCTTCGTCCGAATCGTTCATCTCTACGGGCCGCGGAGGATATGAAGGTAAAACAGCAGGTGAATGGATTGTCGACTGAGTTGGTGCCAACGTCGGCGGTGTGTTGCAACTGGTGCCGGTTCTGATGATACATTTGCCTCTTGGACAACCGGTGCGTGCGGTGGTAACAGAATGGGTTTGCCGAATAAGGAATCCGAGGTCCTCTTCGAATGTGTAGGCAGCGTGGCCGTTGTGTTTGATGGGAGCAGAATCGGTTCGCCAAATATCAATTCTGAATCTCTGGCGGAGGCGACAGAAACGCGGGAAGGGACAGGCGGGGTCGTCGACGAAGGCATTTTCGACATCGGGTCGTCGAGCTCTTCGCAGCTTTAACAGGCGTCCTGATCAGTCCCGCATTCGCGATAGACAATGCGGTTGCTAGGCGGTTACCGTGGACGTATTCCTCGTCTATCGAGAGCCGTACATTATTAGACGAATCAGAGGAGCGGCGAGGAGTAGCGGTGTTGTGGTCCAGTGTGGATTTCGACGACGAGGCAACGGCGTTTATCAAGGTGGGCCGACGCGGTTGGGGAGCGACTGGCCGGACGGCTTGATCGAGAGACTGTTGAATGGCGAATGCAAGTTGCTCGTCGTCTTCCAAGACAAGCCGACCTGATTGCGGAACGACTTTGCCATGGTCGAGAGACTCTTGAATGGCGAATGCCAGTTGTTCATCATCTTCGTCGTCGTCCAATATCGGAGTCGGATCGAAAGTGGTCTCCTCCATGTCAAACAGTGGAAGTTTGGATGGTTTTGACTGCGACTTCTTCATTGAAGACCGTCTATTGGCGATGGCCTCAAGTGCCATGGAACGCTGATATTCCTGCAAATCCGCGTCTGGGACACCCGCTGAAGGACTAAACAACACAAATTAGCATCGCGTCTAATGTTTCGAGGAGACGCTGACATTGGAACTTCCTCCATGTCCTCATCGCTATCGACATCGGAAACCGCTTTCTCGCTGTCCTGGTCAATCTCGATTGGCTTCTCCTTCGTCCCGTCGTCCTCGAATACCCAAAATCCAACCACCGTCCTTCCCCTCGTTCTTGATGAGAAGGTACTCCCTGTTGCGCTCGCTAGCAACGCGCACAGGGATCGTTAAGTGGGCTTTACCGATACTGTCCGTGGTGGTAAGGAGTTGCTGTGTCAACGTATTACGTTGGCGCAGGTTGAGAATCTGCTGTTTGGAAAAGTCTAGCGGAGTCTGAGATTTTTGCAACATGTTCTGCAGCCGCGCAAAAGACGTTTGCCGTGACTTGAGACGGAGGTCGCCGACGATTTCGTACTGTACTTCGGTAGGTAGCTCTCGAAATGCGGGAGAGGTGACGTCGAAATCCTTCGGGACGCATATCTTCGATAAACGCCCGCAAGCTCGTCTTCCGTGGCTAGTCGTGGATCAGGGACGGTAGCGCGAGTCGCGTTTGCAATGTTTGCTTCAAAATCGACGTCTGGGAGGTGGTATGGGTCGTGGTCGTGAAACCTGGGCTTGGTGGGTAGAGGGTTTGGCGGGTGAAGAGTTCTTTGCAGGCGTCTTGGGAGCAGAGCCATCGATGTCCTCGAGGTAAACGGTATTTTCATCGAGTACAACCGGACCAGAAGGAACTTTGCTGTTCCCTTTGCCTTGTTTCCTGCGAAAAATCAGCACAGGTAACAACGAATGAAGCATGCATACTGTTTCCCCTGCACCTGGTTCACCGCTTCGCGTCTCATCTGAGCGGCAAGGAGCTTTTCAGCGAGCTTGGCATGGCTAGTCGCTGCGCCACTCTTCTTTTGCCTTCGATCGTTCTACTCACTATGATTTAAGCTTCTCTATCCACGGGGCTAACATACCAGGGTGTTTCTTTTCAACGCAGGTGCTCCTCCGTCGAATACAAAGACCGGCTTAATTCCGTAGAACAAGAGCTTTGCGATACGACGCAGAAAGCCGAGAACATGAGCATTTGAGAGGGCACGGCCGTCCTTGTCGCGCATGGTCGCCTGGAATTGGTAGATCCATATGCTCGAGTCAATTGCAAGGATTTGACCTTCGAGGGTCTCAAGCCTGTTGGATTCTCAGTCGCCGAATGAATAACAGAATAAGGCCAGACGGACATTACCGGACGGCCTACAGGGCCCACCAGTTTCCAAAGGCTCTTGACGCCCATGACCGTCTATTGATTCGCCGTTGTGAACGTTAAGCTGGCTTCACATGCGCGCGGTGTGGCATTCAGGTTTTAGAGTGGTCGGCTATGATGGTCAAAAGCGAAGTGTGACAAGCGGCATCTAGCCTCCGTACACTCCACTGGTAACCATTCCTCCTCCGCTCACCCACCGCCTTCATGGCCCTCAATAAACCCACGCGGTTCCTCCTGATAGCACTGGGCATTATTATCTCTCTCCACTTCCTGCTCTCCGCTACCCACGAGCCATACAACAAGGCAACATCGCTGTCCTCGCTGAGCGCCGTCTGGAACAAGGAGAAGAGCAAATACACCGACACTGCGGTGCCTGCACACCCCGACATCCAGCCGTTGCCGAAATGGAGTAGTGGAAATGTCACCCGGGCCAACGCGACCTTTGTGATGCTCGCCCGAAATACCGACGTAAATGGCGCTGTGCAAAGCATACGTAGCATCGAGGACCGATTTAACCGTGACTATGGCTACCCGTATGTCTTCCTCAACGAGGAGCCCTGGACGGATGAGTTTAAAAAGTCCGTTTCTTGTTTCCTGTTCAAGCTCTACTCTCATATGCCCTCAGACGGATATCTGCCCTGACCCGCGCTCCCATCGAGTTTGGTGTTATCCCGCACGACTGGTGGTTCCAGGTCCGTGGACATGTCGTGTTTAGTACTTGTCGCTCATAGTGCGTATAGCCGGACTGGATCGACGAAAAGCGGGCTACTGCGGGGCGCAAGAAGATGGAAGAACAGGGCATCATTTATGCGGGCAGTGTCTCCTACCGCAATATGTGCCGCTTCAACTCGGGCTTCTTCTTCAAGCATGAGCTGCTCCTGAAATACAGGTGGTACTGGCGTGTCGAG